ATGGTAACATATCAAATAATACAGAAGTATGTGAAGAAAATTTAATAGTTCCTTCCAACCTCATTGCTCAAAAATGTACTGAGTACCTATTAGTGGGCCAAGCAAGTTCTAGGCTATGTGGATACAGTAATAAACGAAACAAAGTCCCTGTCCTCATAGACTTAGAGTCTAATGTGAGCTACAAACAAACAAGCAGTAAATAATGCCAGGTAGCAATAACTGCTATGGAGAAATATAAGGTTAGGTAAGGGATCCAGGAAGGCCTCTCGTAAGAAGTGACTTGAGCAAAGACTTGAATGAAGTGGAGGTTAAGCCATAAACCTAAGGTGTTCCAAACTAAAGGAATGAAAAGTGCAGTTCTATCAGGGGAATATGGTTGGCATGTTGCAGGAATAACAAAGAGGCTGGCGTGCATAAAGCAGATGATCTAGGAGTTGCTTGTCTTTTTATCCATTTGTAGACTCTTTGTACTTACCAAAAGTAAATGTGTGGTTATGTTACCGACTAGATACAGTTAAATTCATTTGTTTCATTTACTTTCCATTTGTAGGGATTTAAAATTGTTTTTACTTCTATAAATGGTTTGCATGGTTCCAAATTCAAATCCAGAAAGCAAAGCATATTCAAAGAGGTTTAGCTTCTATTCTTGTTCTCTCTAATCTATTCCTTCCACCATAGGTAACCATCGATGAACCTTCTATTTTTTAAACACAGGAAATGCATTTGTAATTCTCTCCCTTTCTTAGATGCATTCACATCCCTCCCCACCTGTGAGGGAAATGGTAGCAAATTATTAAAACATGGAATACGTGATAAATTTGAGTGTCATCCTTGCACAGGTGCCATGTTAGTCTTCTCTGTATCATTATAATTTTGGTATATGCACTGCTGAAGCAAGCAATAAGTTAGATTTTACATGGATAAGAGTTCAGAAGCTGGACACTGCCTGGAAAGAGATGGCTTCAGTAGGTGCCACCATGGAGAGCCTAACATAGCCAGGAGACACCAAGAAGGTACGAGGTGCCAGTAGAGAGAGTAAGTTGCCGAAGGATGGACCAAAGGCATTGAGAAAAGAAGTGAAAGGTTAACCACAGACAGACCTTGCCTACCTCACAACCCAGCCCAGGGCCTATTCTGCTTCAGCTGATGTCCCATTCCTGCCAATATTCTATTGTATCATAGAACAGGTCGATAAAGGGCTTTATTGTTTTGTTTTTTAATGAATTCTTTAGGCACATGAGAATATAAACACAGAATCCTTCTTAGGCACAGAAAAAATGTTTGTTTGAACAAATTCATGCCACAAAGCAAAAATATGTTCCTCAAGTTCTCTAAGTTTGAATTTTGCAGTATGAGCAAGAAAAAGAAATTCTAGAGGTCATTCCAATTTGTCCCAACAGCCTAAAATTTTAGTTAAAAGAGAAGAATAATAAAGTTTCTGCAAATTACTTCGAACATACTAAGTACCCTATTTATTACTGAGCAAACTTTACTGAGTGACTACTATGTTTAATACTCTACATTAGGTGCTGTGGAAGACATAAATACAAATTAGACCTAATCCCTGCCCTTGAGAATCTTACCATCTGTGCTAGTTAGTAATTTATGACTTCTCCACTAGAAATCCATCTTCCTATGCCTTGTTTCTATTCTACAACTGGACCCAATAGGCATTTCTGCTATGACAACTGGCAAAATGTTAGGCTTGGCCAATAGAGGGCACTGGAAAGACACTGTGAGGCCAGAAGAGGAGGAAAGACTTTCCTTTCTTCTTCAGGTGGGTTGGCTTGCAGCAGAGGCCTGGTTGTGTCCACCTCGGCAATCCTCATGGTTCACTTGTGGCCCGTGCCTTCAGCAACTTTCTTCACCACAAATGAACTTCAAGTTCCTGTGACAGCCATGTCCTCTCCTCTAAATTTCTAAGTTTTTCGTTACTATTCACTCTTCCTCAGCCAAAGGTAGTAGCTATTCCTATAGTTCCTGTGGTTTATCTCTAGGCTTTCTATCCTGTCCATTGATCTATATTTCTGTTTTTGTGCCAGTACCATACTGTCTTGATTACTGTAGCTTTGTAATATAGTCTGAAGTCTGGGAGCCTGATTCCTCCAGCTCTGTTTTTCTTTCTCGAGATTGCTTTGGCTATTCATGGTCTTTTGTGTTTCCATACAAATTGTGAAATTTTTTGTTCTAGTTCTGTGAAAAATGCCATTGGTAGTTTGATAGGGATTGCATTGAATCTGTAGATTGCTTTGGGTAGTATAGTCATTTTCACAATATTTGTTCTTCCAATCCAAGAACATGGTATATCTCTCCATCTGTTTGTGTCGTCTTTAATTTCTTTCATCAGTGTCTTACAGTTTTCTGCATACAGGGCATTTGTCTCCTTAGGTAGGTTTATTCCTAGATATTTTATTTTTGTTGCAGTGGTAAATGGGAGTATTTCCTTAATTTCTCTTTCAGATTTTTCATCATTAGTGTATAGGAATGCAAGAGATTTCTGTGCATTAATTTTGTATCCTGCTACTTTTACCAAATGCATTGACTAGCTCTAGTAGTTTTCTGGTAGCAACTTTAGGATTCTCTATGTATAGTATCATGTCATCTGCAAACAGTGACAGCTTTACTTCTTCTTTTCCAATTTGTATTCCTTTTATTTCTTTTTCTTCTCTGATTGCTGTGGCTAGGACTTCCAAAACTATGTTGAATAATAGTGGTGAGAGTGGACATCCTTGTCTTGTTCCTGATCTTAGTGGAAATGCTTTCAGTTTTTCACCGTTGAGGATGATGTTTGCTGTGGGTTTGTCGTATATGGCCTTTATTACGTTGAGGTAGGTTCCCTCTATGCCCACTTTCTGGAGAGTTTTTATCATAAATGGGTGTTGAATTTTGTCAAAAGCTATTTCTGCATCTCTTGAGACGATCATATGGTTTTTATTCTTCAATTTGTTAATATGGTGTATCACATTGATTGACGTGCATATATTGAAGAATCCTTGCATTCCTGGGATAAACCCCACTTGATCATGGTGTATGATCCTTTTAAGGTGCTGTTGGATTCTGTTTGCTAGTATTTTGTTGAGGATTTTTGCATCTATGTTCATCAGTGATACTGGCCTGTAGTTTTCTTTTTTTGTGACATCTTTGTCTGGCTTTGGTATGGGACATTCCATCTTATCTTCTCAGACTGGGATTTATATCATTGGCCTCCTTGGTTCTCAGGCCTTCAGATTCCAATTGAATTATACCACCAGCTTTCCTGAGTCTCCAGCTTGGAGACGTCAGCTCATGGAACTTCTCAGCTTCTATAACCACATAAGCCCATTCCTCATGGTTATCCTGTCAGTCTGTCTGTCTCTCTCTCTATATATAAACAATAGTGCTCTGTACTACTCAGGGTTCTCCACAGAAGCAGAACCCATAGGATCCTACTGAGGCAGGTCAGTTTTTCTTCCAGCTGGTTCTGTTTCTCTGGAGAACTCTGACTAATACAGAGCATTATTGTTTATTCTACTTTAAGCATCACAGGACATCTTACCACATACTTCAGGCAACAACTGAGTACTTGAGAAAATATACTAATAATTTCTCTTTGAACTGCACGTATGCATTATCTATTTTATGGGCTAAAGATTGAACCTGGGGACTTCCCTGGTGGTCCAGTGGTTAAGAATCCGCCTTCCAATGCAGGGGATATGGGTTTAATCCCTGGTCCAGGAAGATCCCACATGCCACGGGGCAACTAAACCCACATGCCTCAACTAGAGAGCCAGCGTGTTGCAACTGGAGAGAAGCCTGCGTGCTGCAACGAAGATCCCGCATGCTGCAACTAAGACCTGACACAGCCAAAAATAAAAATTAATTAACTTTTAAAAAGAGATTGAAACTAAAATGATTAGCTCGTGTGTGATTTTGAAGCATTTGTCTGTGAAGTTAGATCAGTGACAAAGTCTTATTCACTCTTCAAATTTTAGTTCTGAGGGCTTCTCCCCAGGATTACTGCTAGATGATACTGCACCTTTGTGCCAACTAGAAAAAGAAGTGATCCTCTGGGTCCATGTTGTACCAGGGCTCTAGACCAAGTGGGTAGGATTTCAGTCCCCAGCCATCCCATCATCTGGGCACACTAGATATTTATTCTTTTATGTTGACTTGTATCACCTCTGATAGCCACTTGTTAGAACTATTAAGTCAGATTTACAGAATTCAAGGACTTAACAGAAGTCCAGAAAGAGCCATTTTTCTGAGACATTTCTGTATTCATCTGAAGTCCAAAGTTACCAAAAACAAGTGTTAAAAGTTGGGTCAGTTTTGAAAAAACTCAGACTTTCTTTAGTCCCTGGCCCTACATGAAAAAACATTTACAATCCCTTAATTCTCCCAACCATGGGGCTGAGATTGAAAAACCGACCTGCCTCACTTTACCAAGAGGCAATTTTGTGCCCAAGTCACGAAGCTCTTAGATCTATTCATTTGCTTATTCCTTTGTCCCAGTAGGTCAGGCCCACTTTCACCCAAAAGATTATTCCAGACTCTGGAACCTTTTCCAGATTCCTTTAAAGAAATGTATTTTCACTTTGCTGGGAGCCCTAATTGCTTCTGCCAAGCAGAGAATGAACCGTTTCCCCACACTGAGTCCCATTTCACAGAGGAGAATGACCAGGAAGGGAGCTCCTCTATGAAAGGGACCTAGGAACTGATAAAAGGCCAAATCTCATCAACTGAAAGACGAAGTCCCACTATCCTCCGACCAGCCTAGATCAAAGGCGAAACAACTTGTTCGGTTCTCTCTGCCTGGGCTGGTCTTTATTTATTCTTTTTGTCTCTCCGCCACCCTCTGCTCCTCAGTCTGTCTCCGGGCGGCTGTCGCTGCCTTTCCCGACTGGTTACCAATAAAGTTGTTACACAGTGACCTTGAGCGTCTTCCCAGCTGTACCCGATTCCCCGCCTTCTGCATCCGGGTGCCGCGGCGCGGATAAGAGCCGAACCGCGCCTGCGCGCCCAGCCCCATTCCTTCGACCTCTGCTGAGTCGGCCGCTGCCACCTCCCGGGAAGGTAAGCGGAGGGCGCGCGAGCCGGACGTGGCCGAGGTGGAGCCGCGCCCAGGAGGGAGCCATTCATTCTGCTGTCGCCTCGCTTGGCGCGGGACCCGAGCTGACCGCGTGCACGGGAGTCCGCGGGACCTGGGTGGAAGGACGGGCCCTCGGAGGGCACTTGACCTTAAGCCTCTTTGCCTCCGCAGAGAGGAAGCGGGAGAGGAGCCCTAGTCGCTTGTTACCCAAGTCCTCCAGCCGCGCCGCCCCGAAGAGTGCAAGATGTTCGCCTGCGCCAAGCTCGCCTGCACCCCAGCTCTGGTGCGTAGCCCAGGCTGGGCCGGGGGCTCGAGGCCCCGACCACTTGGACCGGGCGTCCACGTTGTTGAACGGTTCACCTCGGGGCAGGACACACCGCCCTCTCGGGACAGCTCTCCCTAGGCCCATAACCTCTGTGTCCTTTTCTCCCTTTCCTCCTCTTCCTGGGGCTTCTCATTCCGCTCCTCCCCTCCACTCGGGGGGTGGAGAGCCGCCGAGGCCTAACTGTCAGGCCAGCTCGGTGTAGGTCAAACCCTCCTTGCCCCTCGTTCCGGAGCGGCCCCCCACCCCACCTCCTCCGGCACCCTGTTGGATCGCGGCCTCGCGAGGGTTGGGGTGCAGTGGAGGGTGGAGGGGGCTCCTGAGGCCTAGCGTCGCGGCTGCACTCTCACTTGCTGATCTGTAGGTCAGTCTCGCAGCTGCAGAGGGAGGGACTTGCCTCACCCTGCGTGGGCGGAGGCGGCTGGTGCAGGACGCGAAAATCTCTCCTCCTGCTTCTGGGATGTTATTTCCAAAAACCATTTTGGACACTTTTGGTGAAGTGAAGATCTCGGGGGTTTGTCTTAGAGAATCAGGTCTTGGTTCTGAAGGGATTTTCTGTGACCTTAATTTAGTGGACACTCAAGGGCGGAGAAGGTGGACTGGAACGTGTCCTTATGGTCAGAGTATTTCAACGATTGTTCTTCCACTGATGTGGAATTGCTTAAGCTGCTTTTTAATTCTATGATTAATGGACATATAAGAATATCCTAGAAATAGCAGGAGATCATGTTAACTAATGGGCTATTTAAAATGACACGCTGTTTATAGTGCTGTTGTACCTACTTGTTGATCCACTTAAACTTAACCAAAGAATGTGGGGTCTTCATTACTGGTTTTCTGATCTGAATTGTGGCGCTACAATAATTGAAATTTTAAAAGCAATACTTATTCTTTTAAACTAATTGTTCTTAGAAGTTTTGTTCAGAATATCACAGATACATTATGAAGCAAGCTTTAAAATTGCATTAACAATTTTATTAAAATTGCTTTGTGCCTTGAAAAATGACCAAACAGACAAGATAAGAATCAATAGAGGAAAGTCATAATTTTTCTTACTCATTTTTGCAGCTTGCCTTTTTAGAATTCATGGTGCAAGAAGGGTCATTGAAGTTTTATCTGTATTTTTACTTAATACATGGAATCTTTTTTCATTAACAGTTCCGAGCTGGATCCAGAGTTGCATACAGACCAATTTCTGCATCAGTGTTATCTCGACCAGAGGCTAGGACTGGAGAGGTAAATGTAGTAATAATAGAAATTAAGTAACACTGCCAAATAAGCCTTATGGTTTCAATTGAAGTGAAGGGGAAAAACCTCATTAATGAATGGTCTGAGGGAGTCCTTTCCACCCTTTCATCCAAAAATTTTGCAGAGAATGAGCCAATGAAAGAAACTTCTGTATCCAAAACTTATCCACCTGAATTGGCTAAGAAATATAGTCAGTATATATACTTAAGTATATGGTTTTGAGTTGCCTGTATTTAAGATTATGATAGCAACAGTTACTGAACAGCCTACTCTATTAAAAAGCACATGCAGGGCTTCCCTGGTGGCACAGTGGTTAAGAATCCGCCTGCCAATGCAGGGGACACGGGTTCGAGCCCTGGTCCAGGAAGATCCCACATGCCGTGGAGCAACTAAGCCCGTGCACCACAACTGCTGAGCCCACATGCCACAACTACTGAAGCCCGTGCACCTAGAGCCCGTGCTCTGCAACAAGAGAAGCCGCTGCAATGAGAAGCCCACTCACTGCAACGAAGAGTAGCCCCTGCTCGCTGCAACTAAAGAAAGCCCACGCGTAGCAATGAAGACCCAATGCAGCCAAAAATAAATTAATTAATTTAAAATAAAAAGCATATGCACGTACACCGTTTCTTAATTTTCAAAAACCTTATGCAGTGTAGATGTTGCTATTCCTATTCTGCAAGATGGGAATTATTCTAAGCCCCAGATTTTTCTGTTGTGCCACACCACCTATTCAAACTCAGCTACAGAAATAGAGAAGTGGTTATCATTTTAACAGTACAGTAATTAAAATAGCTAACTGTGATTGCTGATTTGACCTTTGCCTTTATTTCCTGTTCTCTAGAGCTCTACGGTATTTAATGGGGCCCAGAATGGTGTGTCTCAGTTAATCCAAAGGGAGTTCCAGACCAGTGCAGTCAGCAGAGACATTGATACTGCAGCCAAATTTATAGGTGCAGGTGCTGCAACAGTAGGAGTGGCTGGTTCTGGTGCTGGTATTGGCACAGTCTTCGGCAGCCTCATCATTGGTTACGCCAGGTAATTCCTGTTGCCGAATAAACTAGTTTAAAAACATTCTTGAAATAATTGGCAACTTAGAAAACTATTGAAATCATCATTGCTACTTTGTATTAAGTGCCTGTCTGTGTCTTGCATTATATTTTGAGGTCTTTGCATGCAGTTATCTCACTGCTCCCAACACGCCTTAGAGAAACTGGTTTACCTGTGAAGGACTAGAGATACAGAGGTTATACGGCTTGCCCAAAGTCAAAGCCAGTGTCAGAAAATAAGTTTTAACTCACTTTGACTTCAGAGTCTGCACTCTTTAATTTTTAAGTTGTGGGAATATAATTAAGAGAGCTCATGCTTTAAAAATATCAGCTTCCGTTTTATTATTTAAGACCTTATTTTTAAACTAGCAAATCTTAAAAAGTATAGAACATACTTTAATGGGGATAAGAAGAATGTCTGAATCCCTCAAAATGGATGAAGACTAACCACTTATATTGATATAGAGAGACAGTACCTCCCTTTCCCCAAATGATTAGGAATGAGGAGAAAGGAATGTCAAAGGCAGAACCAAAAGAGAACTAGGCAAAACACTGTTCCGGTACTTTCCAATTTACAAAGATCCTCAACGCTCGTAATCTGGTTGTTTAACATTTACCAACCATGTTAAAATTCAAATAATATTTCAAAGTAACAATGATGTGTGTTGTCTCTTTTAGAAACCCTTCGCTGAAACAGCAGCTGTTCTCATATGCTATCCTGGGATTTGCCTTGTCTGAAGCTATGGGTCTCTTTTGTTTGATGGTTGCTTTCTTGATTTTGTTTGCCATGTAACAGAAATTACTGCTTGAAATGTTGGCATTCATGTTAATTATGGATGTAATTCTGTGTATCTTACTGTGACTCCAAAAACTGTAGCATTGGTGTCATGAAAATGTACGTTGTTTCCAGTCATTAAAGATGAAAACTTTAATTTTTGCTGTGATTTGTACTCACCTAATTTAAATTTAGATCATCACAAAGAAGAACATGTATTCAGGCAGAGGGTGTACAAGTCAGAGGAAACTACTGCAGTTGCCCTGGTGATGGAAAAGATCCTAATGTAATTTTTATGGGAATTCTTTTATATAGTGTTCTGAACATTGTAAATTATAGGGCTTTTGTTTATTCATGTAAAGGGGAAATGTTTGAGTGCTTTGAGCTTCTATGAAATATGATTAATTAAATCAAGATATTAATTGCTCAAGATGGTTTTGTGTTTTTAAGGGCTAACGTGAATTACGATACTTGGAAGCAGAATCACCTTCCAGGACTAACCTGGCTGGTCTTAATACAGCTGGATCTAAAAATAAATCACGTCAGGTTTTTAGGAATTGAAGCCTTATTAAATGGGTGTTGGGATTAGGGAGGTGATTTTTACTTTTCAGTAGGTCTCATGTTAAGCAGTTGTGTGTCTATAATGAATCTTATCTGTCTTCTAAGAAGAAACTCAATCTAACTAGCAGCTAGTTTCTTGCTTAAACAAGGCCCTCATTAGCCAAATATCAAAAAGTAAACTGAATTTAAATTTAAAGCCAGAAGTTGCTAAAGCATTGCTAATCTTTGATACCAACAAATGTTTATAATAGGAGTCTTGGGAATGACAGTTGGTTCAATAGTGTTCTCTTTCTAATACTACGTGTTGCTTATTGGTCAAATTTTGCCTATTAAAATGGAGAAAGGGGTGCTACTTAGAAAGACTGAGCTTTCCCCTTAGCAGATATATTGTACCATTACATTATTTGTCATCACAGTTTCAGGGTTTCTATAAAAGGTTAGGCTGACAGTTGGAAAGCTTCATTTTATTCCTTTAATCCCTTCTGCCTAATTTGATTTCAGTTAAGAGCCGTCAGCTACAAGGGTTTGTCAAAGTGCAGTGGGAAGACCCATCTCCATCAGAATCACCTAGGATGTCTAAAGTACAAATCCCTACGCTCCAGACCTACTGAATTAGAGTCTTTGGCCTTGAAACTCAGCCATCTGCATTTTTAAAAAGGTTTCTCAGGTAATTTTTGAGCACATTTGAGGATCACTAACTTATCTGTATCCTTCCCACTCTCTATAAAGTGTCAAAAACACTAAAGAGCTAGAGCTACTACCACTTTCTGGTTGGTTAATCACCTAGTCTATGTTACATAATTTCCTGGAACCTTCACTATTTTCTTAAATAGTACTACTTGGTATTTGAATTTAGCAATGTAAAGAAGTATTACATGTATTATATGACCTAGCAATTCCACAGCTTGGTATATACCCAAAAGAATTACAGGCATTCAACAGAAACTATATACAGATGTTCATAGCAGCACTATTCACAATAGCCAAAAGGTAGAGACAACCAAATTGATGTTTGGATAAACTGATGATAAAATGTCGTATATCCATATAATGGAATATTATTCAGCCATAGAAAAGAATGAGGTACTGATGAGCGTTACAACATGAGTGAACCTTGAAAACATGAAAGTGAAAGTGCTGTCACTTGGCTAAGTGAAAGAAGCTAAGCACAAAAGGCTGAATATTTACATGAAATATTCAGAATACACAAATCTGTAGAGACAGGGGAATTCCTTGGTGGTCCAGTGGTTAGGACTCTGCGCTCTCACCACCGAGGACCCAGGTTCAATCCCTGGTTGGGGAACTAAAATCCCACAAGCTGCACAGTGCCACCAAAAAAAAAAGTCCATAGAGACAGTAGATTAGTGGTTACTAAAGGCTAGTGGGAGTAGAGATTGGGAAGTAACTGCTTAATAGGTGTGGGAGGTCCTTTTCGGGTAACCGGTGTTCTGGTGATGGTTGTACAACATTGTGAATGTACAGAATGCCACTGAATTGTACACTTTAAAATGGTTAAAAGAAAATACGTATCTTACTGCAATTTACAAAGAAGTACTCTGCAATTAACACAAAGTCCATACTGTAAAATCATGAAATTTTTTAAGTCCTAGGGAAATACTTAGATTAACCAGTCCTCTGTTACAAGTTCATTTTAGGCCAAACAAACAAAAAAACCTGCTCTTACTGCTGGTTTGGTGTTTAAAGAGGCCTGAAACATTGATTCTGGAACAGGTTTCTTATAAGACATGCCCTTAGCTGAGGAAATCCCCTGAGAATGAAAAGGAAATTGTGCTGTGGCTGCCTGGCTTCCAAGTTACTGAGGAAAAAAAAATTCTTTAGAAAATCAGTATAACTTAGAAGTATAACCACAGGCGATTTTACCTTACTTGGAATAACGAGTTTCTGACATTGAAAGTACATCACTAGAATACATCTAATTTGACAGCAGAAATGTTTGTTGTATGCCATTTTTGCAGCAAGTACTACCAGCCTTATAAGCAAATATTAATGGTGTATGCTTTTCACTAACTTCTTAGTTTCTGAACAGAGGCCAATAAAGATATTTTTGCATTGAAGACCAAATGAGTTTTCCATGTTGATAAGTTTGGCCTGTTTAAAAACTCCAAGAGACGAGAGCACCCAAGAGTGGTAGAGTGCTAATTCATCTATTTATTTAGAATACCTAAAGGTATTTCAGATTTCCAGGCATACTTCAGATTTCCGGGTAACATGTTGTTACCTCCCTTCATTGCAAGAATGTGGTATCTTTAATGCCTTTGGGATTAACCCAAAATACAGCTTTGAGTATGAAGTGTATGTTTGAACTAAAGAAAAACTTGTCATCTAGCCTCAAACACTAGACATGTATGGAAATAACTAAAACTCAAAGTAGAATGGTGAGTTCCAGAAGAGTGGCAGGAAGTACTGAGATGTTCAGGGGGGTAGAAAGAGTTTGCTAACAATGGAATCACATGAAAAAGAGTTATTTTTCTACAAATTAATATAAACCTTGAACTGGTGGAATGAAGAAAGGCCAGAATAAGAGGGTATCTTAGCTAGTTAAAGCATGTGGTAAAGTTCGGGAGAAGCAAGGAGCTGCCTGGGTATGGAAGGGAAATAGTGTAAGATAAGGCTGCAAAGGTAAACTGGGGCCAAATTATGTAATTTGTCAGATGTAAAACTGGGTTTTATTTATTTGACCACAGCCAGCCATTGAAGGTCTAGAGCCAAGAAAGTTTAATACAAGAACAGTGTAGGATAGACCGGAGCCAGTAATCGTCAGTGGTTGCTATAGTAGCTTTGCTGAGAGGCAACGAGTGTCCAGTCTAAGATGGCGGCAATGAGTATTTTTTTTAAAAGAGTCTACAAAAGTTGTATCAGTAGGATTTGATGGGAACCAGTTGGAGGAGGAGAGGGTATGTGCATCAAATAAGTGCCATTCCCTATCCTAGGGACTTCATATACTATGTCATTTAACTTTCATGACAACCATGCAAAATTGGGATTGGTTTCCAAGATGTAGAGTAAAAAGGCTCAGAGGAGTTAAACAGTTCACCAAATTACATAGCCATTAAGTGGCAAAGTCAGGATCCAGATTCAGGTCATCTTTGATTCCAAAGCCCATGCTTTGATTTTTAGTATGATTATCTTAGGGATGACAAGGAAAAAGTTGATTTGGGGGAAGTTGGTATGTTGTTTTGTTATAGAATTCTAATACAAGATTGAAGCATACTCCTGAAGAGAGACTTGTGGGCTTGAAAAGGGGAAAGGTCTGGTATATGATATGGAGTACATGTGAATAAAAGAAGTGCAGAGCAGGAGTGAGGACAGTGACCACTTGTGCCCAAGGGAAGTCATGGACTCAGAAAAGACCTGCGAAGACCATATGTTTACACATCAGGTTGGTCCTTGGCACAGAGACAGCCTACAACAATAAATAAAAATAATAAAAAGCGCAAATCTTGGGGAAGGAGGAGGATCTGATTTCCAGAGATCCCACATTATTAGATTCAAATGTCCAGTTTTCAACAAAAAATATCACACAATATCCAAAGAAACAGGAAAGTGTGGTTCATTAAAAGGAAAATAAGATCCACAGAATCTGCCCCTGAAAAAGACCTGATGGCAGATCTGCTAGGCAAAGACTTTTAAACAACTGTCTTAAAGATGATCAAAGAACTAAAGGAAGATGTGGAGAAAGTCAAAAAAGGAAAAGTATGAACTTTCTGATTTCAAAACTTACAAAAGCTACAGTAATCAAAACTGTGTGATGCTGGCATAAAGATAGACATAATAGACCAATGGAATAGAATAGAGAGCCCAGAAATAAACCCTTGCATATATGGCCAAATGCTTTTTTTACTCTTTTTTTTTTTTTTTTTTTGGTATAGGATAGTTGATTTACAATATTGTGTTAGTTTCAGGTGTACGGCAAAGTGATTCAATTATTTTTTTCAGATTATATTCCATTATAGGTTATTACAAGGTATTGAATATAATTCCATGTGCTATACAGTAAATCCTTGTTGCTTATCTGTTCTATGTTCAGTAATTTGTATCTGTTAATCCCATACTCCTAATTTGTCCCTTCTTCCCTCCCTCTCCCCTTTGGTAACCATAAGTTTGTTTTCTATGTGAGTCTGTTTCTGTTTTATATGTAGATTCATTTGTATTGTTTTTTAGATTCCACATATAAGTGATATCATATAGTATGTGTCTTTCTCTGTCTGACTTCACTATGTATAATATTCTCTAGGTCCATCAGTGTTGCTACAAAAGGCAATATTTCATGCTTTTTTCTGGCTGAGTAATTTTTTTTTGTAAAATAATTTTTGACAAAAATGCTAAGACCATTCAATGGAGAAAGGACAGTCTTCTCAGCAAATGATACTGGGAAAACTGGCTATCCACATGCAAAAGAAAAAAGCTGGACCCTTATTTAACACTGTATACAAAAATTAACTTAAAGTGGATTAAAGACTTAAATGTGAGACCTAAAATTATAAAACTCTTGGAAGAAAACAGGGCAAAGTTTGCAGGACATTGGATTTGGCAATGATTTCTTGAATATGACACCAAAGGCACAGGCAGCAAAAG